CATTATCCCCCATTTTCGCTTAACGTGCGTTTCTAGACCAACTTAAACTAAGTGGGGTGAATGCAGCTCATCTACAAGTTATACCGTTACTCCCGAAACTCCCTTAAAACGAAAATAAGTAATGTAGTCGCTGTTAATAGCGAGTAAAACTTTACTTAAAACAACCCCACTATAAAAATATGATTTAAAAAATACTTAGCCTTCCATTGAATCCACATCTGCAGTAACTGATGCCAAAACTATACACCCAAGTACCTGGGTTCAAAGTTGGAATTTATGGCCATTTAAATTATAATAATTCGTATTCAGTGCTATGTTGTCTAAATTCACGGGAAACAGGTCTATTTATATCATTTTGAGGGAATTAAAATAATTAATCAGATGGAAATTAGGCTTGATGGATCCCTTATTTATTAAAGAGGTAGACATTGAATTGAGGCTAAACAGAATCTACCAATTGTTTCATTATACGATCAGCGTTACTAATAACGGGTGTGTAGTAGTACCCTTATTATTTTACAATATCTTCTGTTGTCACTTCCTCAGCCTTTTTCAATTCTTAATTACATGGCTAACTTTAAATAAGCATTATTACTTTTGCTGGTTACATTTATTTGTTTTTCTTTGATGATACTTTGACCGCCTGTCCACATTTTGTTTACAATTTTCAGGCGTTGGGCTAATGAATAATCGTGGTCGCGAACGGGACAGCAACCAAATGTCCAAGTTTCTTAACAGGATCTTGGGTATGCGAGTGCACATACAAAACGCCTTATTTCGCTACTTCTCGGACACTCTTGAGGAGCTGGTGCGACGGGCCAAGCGAGATAAGCGACTTGACTTGGGTATAATGGATCTTGGAACAACTGGTCAGAACATGGAAATCACATGGACTAAGAGCTTTGACAATCGTTTCCTCACTGATTCCTCTGAAGTACACTTGCACAAAGTAAGATTAATTATTCTTGTAACTCATCGGATGTTGATCTTGGGAAAGTACATGATCTTAGTATTTAATTTAGTTAGGCCTGAACCATTCATCTAAAATTTGCAGGCTTCCTCGGCGTTTATTAAAATATTTTCGTTATCTTTTTATTATTGGCTACAACAAATAATTTTTATGCACTACTAATTATTATTGACGATACGATCTACAATACTGTCAGCTCAATCTTGATAAATAATTCATATTAGGTCATTTTGCTTTTAAAACGATTTAATAGAATTATTTTTTCACTTCTTAATTGATACTAACCTATGAAGCGGGTTAACCTTGTTTTCGCGGCTTGGTCTTGTTGTCAGGGCGACTTAGTTGAATGCACTCTGTCCAAAGTCCTCTGTTATAGCAGTTTTCATAATTCTCAACGTCAGACATGGACTTTGTACATTCTCAGACGTTTTGCCGGCATCATCACTGAGTCTTGCCATTCTCAACACCAAGCTAAAACTCGTTAAATGGACAAGTAAAGTCAATCCCTTGACTAAATTTATTTCCTAAACGGTAGGAAATAGAGTGTATAAATGGGTCAGGACAGAAAGAGGAATGATAGTACAACCGTTAGGGCAGAAAGTTTGCTCAGGGGATTGACTTCACTTG